TTCCTGTCATAGCTTCCTCTTGTTCTTAGTAGCTTTAGCATTTTAAATCTGTTCATGTATATTTCAAACATATGATGTATTTTTTTCATATCAGCTTTGTAAACTCTAAATCTTAGAAGCTCATGATTTGTACTACTAGTCCTTGGGAAATTTCTTGTATAAAAGTTCAGTTATATTATCTTTATTTCTCTTAGTAAATGTCTTTTAAATTGGATTGTTGCTAATTGGCCTACCTAGCGAGTTCGGTTAGGTGTCATCACGACTAGTTGGATTTTGGGTTGTGATATTTTTCTTCCTTTCCATTTTCATATGGAATAGATTGTATTTTTTGTGGGGTACTCTGTTGAGTATTCGGTTAGCTGTAAGGATAGTTTCCCCCCACAAGCTCTGCGGTAAGCCATAACTTATTAATAAAGCATTCATCATTTCCTTTAATATCCTATTTTTTCTTTCAGCAATTCCATTGGAATGAAGTGTGTAGGGTGCAGTAGTTTGATGGATAATTCCATATTCCGAACATATCTCTGCAAAAGGAGATTTGTATTCTCCACCCCTATCACTTCTAATCATTTTAATCTTTTTATTTAATTGATTCTCCACTTCAGTCTAGTATTGCTTAAATGCTTCAATTGCTTCATCCTTACTATTAAGCAAATAAACATTACAATATCGAGTACAATCGTCAATAAAAGTTATAAAATACTTTTTCCCACCTTAAGATGGTGTTGATTTCATATCACAAATGTCAGTATGGATTAAGTCTAAAGAATTTGAATTCCTTTCAACAGACTTATAAAGATGTTTGACAAATTTAGATTCAATACATATTTGACATTTTAATTTATTACACTCGAATTTAGGCAATACTTCTTAATTAATTAACTTTCGCAAGGTTAGTAATTGACATGTCCTAAACGAATATGTCATAAATCATTTGACTCCAATAAATAAGAAAAAGCTGAAATTTAATTAATACTGTCAACAAACATTACATTGAGTTAAAAAAGGCCCTTTGTGAGGTAGCCCTTTCTAACATACATATCATTCTTGCTTACAATAACTTTGTGAGATACAAATACACATTTGAATCCATTCTTAACAAGTAGAGAAGTTGAAACTAAATTTTTTCTAATGGTAGGAACATGAAGAGCGTTGTTGAGCGTTAACACATTGCTAGAAGTCATCTTCAGGAATATCTTCCCATAACCCTCAATCTTGGCTGTTGCAGTATTTCCCATGAAAAGATCTTTTTGTGACCAGCAGTAGAGTAAGTCACAAATACTTTTTTGACAGCACAAATATGTCGAGTGGTTCCAGAGTCAATCCACCACTCCTTCGGATTTCTAACTAAGTTACATTCCGAAAGCATTGCACACAGATCATCAATGTCACTATGTTGGCCTGTCCCTTTTTCTTGTCCTTTTTCGGAGATGATAGTCAGGGGCTTTGTGACAAGCTTATCCACAATTATAGCAGCTGCCCTTGAATTTTTTCTTGTTCTGCTCCTTAGTCTGTCCAGGAGACTTCTTCCTCTCCTTACTTTTTGGAGCAGCCTCTTCAATGATATTCGCTCCCTTAATCGTTGAATTTCCACGCGACTTCTTCTCGGCTGTTTTGTTATCTTCCTCAATCTTGATATGAATCACAAGATCTTCCAACTTCATTTCTTTGCGCCTGTGCTTTAGATAATTTTTGAAATCTCTCCACGAAGGAGACAACTTTTTAATCATTGCAACCACTTGAAATGCTCCATTCACTACCCTACCTTCAGCAATAAGGTCGTGAAAAATAAGTTGAAACTCTTGAACTTGGGTTCCAACAGTTTTGTTGTCTATCATTTTATAGTCAAGAAACTTGGTAACCACAAACTTTTTCAAGCATACATCTTCAGTCTTGTACTTCTTCTCAAGTGCATCCCATAATTCTTTCAAAGTATTCATAGCACTGTAGACATTGTACAAATCATCCTCCAAAGCACTTAGAATGTAGCCTTTGCAAAGAAAAACTGCCTGTTTCTACGCCTCAACAATCATAAACTTTTCATTGTCTGGCATGTCAGTGGTAGGCACTGGAGGGTTTTCACTTGTGAACTTCTGCATACCAAGCATGGTAAGCCAAAAGAACACCCTTTGCTGCCATCCTTTGAAGTTAGCTCCAGAAAATTTCTCCAATTTTCGGCCGATGGCACAGCAATTCGGCTTGACGAGGCTATTGTCGTTTTTCGCAATAGTCGCAAAAGGATTTCCATTTTCAATTGCCATTTCTTAGTGTCAACAACAGAACAGTTCAATTAATGGCAGAAAATAAAACAGTAAACAATACTGTAATTAATAATAAATAGTACGTTTAATAAATAAAAATCGAAGTTTTTATATACTGTTTCACAAGAAAATGATGAAGTTTTTATGTTCTTCAAATCGTTTATGAATTTTAATACTCCGATGAAGTTTTTATATCTTCAAATCAGAAATAGAAAACTTCAGAAGGAGTAAAAAATCACAAAGGTTTTAATCTCCAGAAAACAAAATAGATATTAAAGTATAAATATAATTTGCTTAAGATTGTTATCAATCTGTATTGACTACAATATTATGGAACAGTAAATTTTCTGTAACAGAAAACAGAAACAGAAAATCAGAAGTAAAGCAGAATCTCAAAATAATCAAAACAGAATTTGAAAATAAATTTCGCAATGAAATCGAGCCCACTGAATGCACAATGTGTCCTTAATGAAATTATTCCCCTCAAGTACCCGAGGTGTTGGGCTATTATCCTCATAGGATAAAATGATTTAACTCATCAAAGTATCGGTATATAAAACGATGTTGAACTGCGAACCACTTAATAGCTGTAAATCACACTGAAATTTATTTATGCAGAAGAAGAAGAAGTTTAGAAAATCTCGTAAGAAAAAATTCTGGGATCAAGGTGAATTTATAGCCATTTTCTGGCACTATTTCTGAAAATTTGTAATCTTTCAGAAACAGCCATGGCAGTTGGAACATGCGAGAACGTTTAAAATATTTCGGGAAAAGAATTTAAAATAATCTGGGAAAAGAAACGGACTGGGTCGTGTCGCGCGGGTCCTGGGTTATTCCGGGTTGAATTTTCGAAGCCGTAGTCGAGCCGAGCGAGCGGCGACGGCGCGAGGCTTACCTTCTTTCCAACCTAGTTAACACCAAGAGAAGTGCTTTCTTAGAGCCCGTTTAGACATAAGAAATTTTTTTCTTTTTTCAAAAATTTTTTACTTTTTTCGAAATCAGCGTTTGTTCATAAAATTTTCAATTTTCACTTGAAAATGCATTTTGAAATTTTTCGAAATTTTGAAAAACTCCAAAAAACTGTTTTTCAAAATTTTCACTCAGATTACTCACAAAACTTCAAAAACAACCCAAAATTATATTCATGTCCAAACACAACTTTAATTTTCAAACACCATTTTCACTTTTTTTTTCTTTTTTTTTTGGAATTTTACAATTCTTATGTCCAAACGCCCCCTTAATATAACCTCATTCTCTATATTTTCCACTACCAATGAGGGACAATTGCTCTTTCTAAAGTATAAGGGAAAAACTCACTTTTCCTTCATATATCTTCCCTCCGTTCCCATTCACCAACTTCCAATCCTAACATGAAATATTGGTGAAAATACTGAAATGTTGGTTTAAGGACTATTTTGAATGAAACAGTGATTTTCAATTACAAATCTCCAACTTTTACTAACATCTTATTCAAGTACAATTAATGTTCAAACACAACTTTAACTAGTATAATATTTTTCAACATCAACTTCAAAATTCAAATTAAATACTCTTTTTTCAAACTGTATATTCTCCCAACACCTACTGGATAAAAGGTTTCATTTAGAAATATTATTTCCTGCAATGTTAGCTGAAATATATAATTGCAACATGTTAAATTTAAAAATAAATCTCAAAATCTTACTAGTAGTAAACAATTCAACATCTATAAAAAAGTCAATGATAGGGGTGGCACGTAGCCACACCTATTCGATTTAAAGATGGAGTAGTTTTGTTGACAGTTGGATGAGTTGCATTACTATTAGGCATTCGTCTCAAAATTATGAATCTATTTTTTTAAAAAGTTATATCGCTGTCTAAATTAGTTGAAGATTGCTTTGCGTCAAAACTAATTCAGCGACTCATGATGGGCACCAGTATTAGTAATGTTCCATTAACGTCCGCCACAGAGGTTGAATACCTTTCAATTTTCAGGAAACTGAATGTAAAGTGGCAAAAATTAGATGTTATATTTTATTTTTTATTTGATATGGTATCATAAAATCAGAACTATTGGTATTACTTTTCGTCATGTGGTTCATGAGAAAGTTTTTTCTCATAAAATAATTTCTCCATACTCTGTATTTTCTTTCTTTCACACAAACACACACAATAAAATAACGTTCTTTTCTTTACTTTATAGTACTGCAATTTTCTCGGGAGCTGACTTCCCGCAGCTTTCTTAACATCAAACGAAGTCTTAGTTGTACGAAAGAAAAAACAATTCCAACTGCGAACTTATTGACCTATTCCAACTGCTAAGTTATTGAATTTGTTTTTAGAAAAAGTAACAGCCCAGTTTATTTTTATATTGAAATCGAGCAAGTAATTAACCTTTTTCTCAAATATTCCTGCTTGTTGGAGCTTCGGCACAACAATTTAAGTCGTTCACATCAATATCATAATAGTTTCTAGGTTGAACTTGAACGCTGATGGTGGAGTAGGACCATTTATATCGCTTTTATTTGTAGCAAAAGTGTGGGGACCGGGCCTACCGACTCCCACGCCATAAATAAATATATATACACAAAATTTTAAATAAGTAATTTAATAGGTATGGGCATATAGTGGGTAACTTGGCACCACTAAAAATATTTCGGCGTAAAATAGGAGGCAGTATTATTATTATTTTGATTAAATTATTGCTCTGTTTAGAGGAGGAGTGGCTTATTTTCTTAGAAGCTGATGTGAAGGAATAATGCCAGAGAAAGCAATATTACATGTACTTATGTGTCTTTTGATTCCTTCCCACCTTCTAACTGTCTGTTGACAGGGACACATTATCTACCATTCCTAATTATAAATAAAGCCTTCTCTTCTCTGGTAAGTAACTCATGCTTGCAAGTTGCAATTTTGCCATTTTGCTACTTTGTTTTTTTCTTCTTCTGGATTTTGAGTGAGCCCTTTCATTTAAATTCTCAATACAACAAAAAGCTATTTTTGTTTGGATTCTTTAGAGTAACTGGAAATTTCGGGTTGCTTATTTTCTTGTTTGTTGCTTAGTGTTGAGCGAAAGTTCCATTGGTTTGTGAGAAAGTGAAAGGCTATATATTGCTTTTGGTAGACGAAATTAAACTTACTGTTTTTCCTAAGTAAGGTGAAGGGCTTTTCCTACTTTTAACTTAGGTTAATGTCTTTTTTCTGAGAAAGGGAGAATCTTTGGGCCATAAGTCCTTTTGCTTGGCTATTTTTTTGAAAAATCTAGTTGGGTAGTTTCTTTATTTGTTTCTTACCACCTTTTTCTTTCTGGGGGAATTTTACTTTAATTAGTGCAAACCTGGACTGTGAAAGTGGACACACTAAATTCTAGAAGTACTACTAACAACTTCCATCAAAGTCTTCGAAGAACAAATATTTCCGTAATCTCTACGCAACAGTTGAAGTCTTATCTTTTTTTCAAATGGTGCCTTGAGTGATCTTGTCAGTGCTTCATCATTTGATTTCGACGACCTAGTTTGCAAAGGAGGAGCTAGCAAATTGCAGATTACTCTGGCAAAAGCAGAACCTTAAAGAACATGTCTTCAAATCTAGTAGTACCTGGTCCAATTCAATTCAATTACAGTCAATACGAAATCCTCGTCTCCCTAAATCAAGTAAGTCCCTATAATCTCTGTCCACCTATATATCATGATTATGCTATTAATTCTCAGATAATATGTTGTTGAACTGATGAGTAATATCTCATCTAAAAGTTTAAATTGAAAAACATATTTTTATTTATTTAATTTATGTTGTCAACGTCTGTCTATCTGATTTTCTTAATCAGGGAGATCAAGATCAACGACAGGCTGCATTCGAGTACATTCTCAACGTGATCGTTTACTCATCAGTTATCCGTAGGTTGCTGTACTCATTTGCAAGACACAAATATCATGGGCTAATTTTACTGTAAGAAATTGACATTTTGATTTGATCTTTTTTTAGTGGTGTTGCTGATGGTTGCTGCGTTGCTTATCAAATTACTTGGAGTTTGTGAGGGTGAAATGGCAAGAAATGATGCAGTCAGAAGAGAAACAGACAGATTAATTTCGAAAGCAAGCGCTTCTTTATCCTATGGAACATGTGACGAAGATGATTTAGAATCTGGAAATTGCAGTCGTTGTAGTTCTTCGGAAGATCTGTATGATGAAAACATATGCATAGTTTGCTTTGACGAGAAACGAAATTGTTTCTTTATTCCATGCGGCCATTGCGCTACTTGCCACGCATGTGCCAAGAGGTGTATATTAGTATTTTATTTAGTTGATTTATGGATCAGCATATTGATCTGGAATATGAGTTGGCACATTAACTGAAGTGGGATTTTGTTTTTTGTATTTTAATGCAGGATTACTGAGGAAGAAAACAAGAATTGCCCAATTTGCCGGAGAGTAATCCGCAGAGTAAGAAGAGTGCTTATTGCATAAATTCACGTTTCCCTTATGTAGTTAATGTAAATGATGCACTTACATCGACAATGGTGATATTACCACGTCTTTTTTGTTTATTTTTTATTGCACGTTGCTGGCTTGCAATTTGATAGGAATAGGAAAATTATGAGGTACAACACCTTTGTCTACTTGTACACTCAAGATAGCCTCGTCCTCGTGGGCAAGTGGCGGATCAAAAGTTAACTTACTGGGGAACTAAAAGATACGTACGAGACCACTATAATTCATTTTTGCTAGTCTCTTTGGACTTCTGAAGTTGAATTTTGTCCCCTTTTCTCTTTTCCATTCCACTCTATATATTTATCTCTTTCCCAAGCAAAGCGAAAGGATAAGATAAAATCAGGTCAAAACACTTGTCGACGCAAGCTCCACCCTTCCTTTTACTCCTTATTCCTTGTTTTTCTTAAATTCAAGTTAAATATATACACTTTGATCTCTAAGTAAGAGTAACAAAATGTCAGAACATCGCTAAGGGGTAAGGAACACAAAAGGAGATACGTAGGAAAAAAGAACATACAATTTGTTCACAATGGAACCACGAGTTTGACTTCTGCAGTCAGTCGTTGGGTTTTCTCAACTTCCTTTTTAACTGGGAAAAAAGAATACATAATTTGCTGCAAATCATAGGAGTTATCAATTATTCAACCTCAAAACTTCAAGATCAACGTCTAGCAGAGTGAAATATGCTCCATTTGACAGGCTCTTCAACTATCTTGTTGATTCTGTCATTGAATATTTGCGTGGTTCAAATGTTGGACTTGGGAGCAAAATCAAAATCTACTAGGCTGAATTATGCTCCATTAACAGCCTCCTTTTTGATTCTGTGGTCGAATTTTTGGCTGTTTAAAATGTTGGGAGCTTTACTTTCCATTCAAACAAATACTGACATTGAAGATCAATGGAGATGCAATGCGCACAAAAAAAAGCGCTTGGTCTTGAATTTGGGATTTGATTTTTACACAAATAGCCCTGTTTGTTTACTTTTTCTAATAATATACATAGTTTATACATTCATTATACACAATTATACACATATAATATACTCTCTCCGTTTCAATTTATGTGAATCTATTTCATTTTTAGTCCGTGCCAAAAAGAATGACCACTTTCCTTATTTGGAAATAATTTACCTTTATGTAATGATTTATAGCCACACAAAATATATGTGCCTCATTTTACACCATAAGTTCAAAAGTCTTCTCTCTTGTCTTAAACTCCGTGCTCAGTCAAATGAGTTCACATAAATTGAAACAGATGGAGTATAAATTATGCATATATTATACATTCACCTACTATTTTTAATTTAAGTAATTGGGTGGCAACTATTTGAGTTAATTCTTCATTTAACTGGTAGACAAGCTGCTAATAGGGGCCTGAATGCTGACTGCCCGAAATGATCTTTGGTCATTTCGTTAGAAGTGTAATATTGACCCAAATGAAGAGAAACGCAGTCTGAATATCCAACTTGAGGATATGTACATGCAGAGCCCATACAGTTTGATTCACCACTGGAACATTTGTATTAGTTTCCAAAAGTATTCCCAAAAATAAAACAAATAGATTAACTTCTCCAAATAACTCACCCATAAAAATATCAAATAGGGGGAAAGGATCCTCAAAAGAGTATAATTATTTGGTGAGTCAACAATGAAGCCTATCTTGTGGCACATCAGAGTTCAAATCTTTTAACACTCAAGTAATTGTACTAGTAAAATAATAAATAAAAATAAAAATAATAATCCAGTGTAATAAAGCTTGAATTGAAAACTTCTTTGAAGCTTGGTAAAGTGACACTTGGCTTCATTTGTTTGCACTTAATGGATGTCTGAATCTTAACTATTCAGATCTTAGACATTAAGTGCATTTATTTTTAAACTCTGAATCTTAATTATTTAGATCTTAATCATTAAGTGTGTTTATTTTTTTACTTCACAACCACTTAGTCCTCATTTGTTTTTTTTAAGATTAAGTTATCTGAATCTGAATACACGTCTGAATATCAAAATGTGTATTAAGATTAAGACATCTGAATCTGAATACACATCTGAATGTTAAGATGTCTATTAAGCTCTGAATACTAAATGATTAAAACTGTTTGATTTTTAACATCTGAATGTATAAAATTTACGTTTATTAATAAAATTTACGTTTATTTGAAAATTAATAAACATAAAATTCAAATAAAATACTAATCAATCTAATATTCCATCACTAAAATATATAGCTTTTTAAAATATGATAGTTGCTGGTGCTGATGGCTAACGGTAGTGTTTGTGAATGCCGACTAAAAGCGGTGGTTGGTGGTAGATTTGATTGATGATGGTAGTAGCTAGGGGTGATTGGTAGTGGTAGCTATTATGATTGAGGATGGTGGTGGTGGGTAGTGATAGTTAATAATGGCGGGTGGTGGTGGTAGTAGTTGTGATTGAGGAAGATGGTGGTGGGTGGTGGTAGTTGATAATGATGGGCAGTGCTAGCGATGGTTGTTCATGGTGATGGGGTAGTTAGTTGTGGTAGTTGAGGTGGATGAGTGTTGGTTGTCGTTAAGAATGACGGTGGTGGGAGTGGTGGGATGGTGGGTGGTGGTAGTCAACAATGGTGGTGGCTATGATTGAGGATGATGTGGTGGTGAGTAGCATGGTGGTAGTTGATAATGGTAGGCGGTGGTGACAGTTAATAATAAATATGGATGATAGCATCTTAATGAAATTAAGTCTCTGTTATAGATCTTAATGATACAGACCTATTCAGACCCATTAAGTGGCTGTGAAGTAAAAAAAATAAACACACTTAACAATTAAGATTTGAATAATTAAGATTCAGACTTTAAAAACAAACGCACTTAATGTCCGAGATCTGAATGATTAAGATTCAGACATCCATTAAGTGCAAACAAATGAGGCCTAATGGGTCTGCATAGGTCTGTATGATTAAGATCTATAACAAAAACTTAATTTCATTAAGATCCTATCATCCACATTCATTATTAACTGCCGCCACCACATACCATTATCAACTACCACTACCAACAACAACATCCTCAACCATAGCCGCCACCACTACCACCACACCCCCACCACCATCATCCTCAACTATAACCGCACACTCTCCCACCTCAATTACCATAACCAATCACCCTATTGACGAGCGCAAAATATACACTTAAATTGTGCTCGCTAGTCAAGGATAATATAGTATAATTATCATCTCCACATGGATTGGATTTAAATAATATTCTCGTAGTTTGTAGCTCGATTGCTATCCAAAAGGATCAACAGTGGAGATTTATATAAATTATAACTACAATTAACTAAGAATCTAAAGGTATTGACTAATGACAATTGCAACAAAGGTAAGCAACAGAGTTATCAATGGGAGAAAATATGGGTTGATAGGATAGGTGCAAGATAATTGTTCGGGATCTAACTCTATATAATTCACTTCTAATGTTCAAGTGAGTATCTCGAATTCACTTAATTATCAGTACAGATGTTTAGTAGAAATTCCTCTCTCGATTAAGTTTCAACCTCACAATATGAACCAATTTAAGCTCGGTGAAGATATTCAAGAATTCGTAATGGATTGGTCTTTAGGAGAACCTCTTTTGATTATCCTCCTAACTAGGTTTAATCAAGGATTCAACTAGCCTCTTTCGATTACTTAAAAGAATCTATGAACTCAACCAACAATATAGTGCAAATATATCACAAGTTATGCCTCTTTTGATTACAAGAACAAGTGAACATATATGCAACAATTAATTCTTCCAAAAACGATTCAAATACATAAACATAGAGTTATAATCCACAAACAACCATCAATACACTAAATCCATCAAAACCTAAATGGTTCTACTCCATAGACATAGAGAAGCTCATCACAAATAAAATAAAAGTAGAGAAAAATATAAATACAATCCAAACCCAGATTTGAGTGAGGAAGGAAGGATGAAATCCTTGTCCTCTTGCTTCTTCCTCTTCTCCTTAGCTACCCTAAGTCTAAGGTATGTCAAAAGTGCAGAAATAGTATTTTTTTCCGTGTATTTAACTATCCCCCAAATGAACCCCAGATGAAAATACCCTTTTTAGCGAAATTCAGAACATACTCTAATAATTTTGCACTACCGTGCCGCACCATGCGACGCGCTAGTGGCAATTTCCAGAACAATTTACAAAATAGATTCTGGGCACATTTTGCACAGCTGCGCCTCACCATGCGACGCGGTAGTTGGGAATTTGGAAAATATAAAACATGATAGTTCTAGCTATTTTAAATAGCTTTCCAATGAGATATTGTGGAGTCTAAACGGATTTCTGAGCGAAAGGTTATGTGTATTTTACTGGACAATGCGAAGTATGTCTGCTCGATTTTTCGTTTCGTTCTTAAAGTGCACTATCATCCGTTGATCCCCGAACATGATCTCAACTTAATCCTTGGGCTTTTACTCAGATTTCAAAGCTCAAGAATAGCTTGAATTCATTCCATAACATCTACATAGATCTGAATCACTCCTACAAGGCATAAAACACATAATTAGTACAAAACACTAGCGATTAAAGTTCAAACTCAATTAAAGTGCAGTAAATTGGAGTGCAATAAGCGACTAAAATACGAGATTATAGACTACCATCAACACCCCACACTTAAACCATTGCTCGTCCTCGAGGAATCAAACCACACTTTATATAGACACACCTTACTTAGCAACTCTCCTAACTCATTACACCAAGAATATTTAAAATAGACTAAGCACAATAGTGTAACATCCTCGCCTCAAGATTTGACTCGCAAGCACCACGCATTATTTATAACCCGCTCACTTACTCAAACACAGAGGTCAAGCATTACCTTTCCTTCGTGAATCAAGTGCCCTCACACAATAATAGAGAGTAGTTCTACACACAATAAGATTTAAGAACAATCAGGAACTCAAGATAGAAAAAATTCACTCACTCTCAGAACAACATTCATATGCCACAAAAGATGCACCATAGGATTGCCCGTAGTGTACTACTCTACTAATAGACATATACTAGAGGTAGCAAGAGCATTGAATTTTCAGAGTTCAATGTCTATAAAATTCTGGGGAGATTGTGTTAAAACTGCTGTGTACTTGATCAACAGATTACCATCAACAGTGCTGCAAGGAAAAATACCATTTGAGTTGTTGCATGGTAAGCCACCTTAACTATCTCATCTTAAAGTGTTTGGCTGCCTTTGTTATGCAAGTAGGTTACCTAAAGGTGATAAATTCACAACAAGAGCTAGGAAGAGAGTCTTTAT